CGAAATTCAGCTTGCGATAGTCGATACATACTCTCCATCCCGTGACTGTTCGTGTCGGAATCAGCTCGTTGTTGTCATTTCGGACCACTGTCATTCCTCCTTTCTTTTTTACCACTTGGATTGGACTCACCCATGCACTATCTGAAATTGGATATATTATTCCTGCATCTAAAAGCTTTAACACCTCATTCTTGACCACTTCTTGCATCGATGGATTCAATCTTCGCTGTGGTTGGACATTAGGCTTGAAACTTTCCTCTATTAAGATCTTGTGCATGCAGATTGAAGGACTGATACCTTTGATATCCGTAATTGTCCATCCAAGGGCCTTCTTGTACCTTCTCAAAATGCGCAGCAACTTTTCTTCCTCTAAAACACTCAAAGAAGCATTAATAATGACTGGAAAGAATTTACCCTCTTCTAAAAATGCATACCTTAAATGAGATGGTAGTTGCTTGAGCTCAAGTGTAGGCGCCTTCGTGATTGGTAAAGTTAACTGAGACTCCATAGCTCCAATTTCTCTGATCAATTTACCCTCGGGACGACCTAAGGGTGGTAAAGCTCTTAAGTATCTTAGACACTCACTTAACTCTTCACTATCAACTTCATCCTCTTGGTCTCTAGAATTCATCAAACAATTCTCTAAAGGCAGAATTGGGTAGTTCTCTTCAAAATTCTGCTACACTATGGTGTCGAGAACATCAATCTTAAAGCATGAATCTAACTCAGACGGACGCTTCATAGACTTGAATACATCAAATTCTACTTGCTCATCCTCTACCCTTAAGATCAATTTTCCTTGGTGGACATCTATCAATGTTCTACTCGTGGCCAGAAAAGGTCGCCCTAAAATTAAAGGTATTTCCCTATCTTCCTCCATATCTAGCACAAAGATTCTAGTGGGAATATCAGTTTATCTACCTTAATCAGGACGTCTTCGACTACCCCCCTAGGATATGTGATCGATCAATCAGCTAATTAGAGAGACATGGTGGTTGGCTTCACTTCTCCCAATCCAAGTTTCTTGTAAATGGAAAACGGCATTAAGTTAATACTAGCCCCTAAATCGCATAGCACTTTATCAAAATAACAACTACCAATAATACAAGGGACAGTAAAACTCCCTGGATCTCGTAGTTTAGGTGGTAGTTTCTTTTGAATCAGCGTACTGCATTCCTCTGTCAGCATGACTTTCTCGTGTTTCTCAAATTTTCTCTTGTGCGTGAGGATCTCCTTCAAAAATTTCGCATACTTCGGCATCTGTTCAAGCATATCAACAAAAGGAATATTAATATCTAAACTGTGAAACATGTCAATGAACTTACCGAATTGCTTGTCGAGCTTCTGATTCTTTAACAGTTGTGGATACGGCAAGGTTGACTGGCTTGAAAGATTATTTTGCTCATTTGTATGGTCGCCGCGGCCACCAGATTCATCGCCACAGCGATCGTAGGATAATCTTGATGAAATTTGACTATTTTCACGATCGCCGCGGCGATCGTCCTTCTTTCTGACGGATCATTCTTCCTGCTCACGCTCACCGCGGCCACCATCTTAATCGCTGCGTCGATCGTTCTTCTGATCATCCTTCAAGTTTAGTTCTATCCTCTGTTTTTCACCTTGTGAATTTTCCAAATTTTTTCCACTCCTCAGGGTGATTGCATATGCCTGTTCCTTGGGATTTTTCTCAGTATCACTCGGTAAAACCCCTTGACCTCTTCCCGCCAATATGTTGTGAATCTGCCCAATTTGAGTCTCTAGGTTCCTTATAGATGCAGATTGGTTCTGAACCAGGACGTCGGTCTTCTCAAACCTCTTGCTTGTCTCCTCAATGAACTTGGTTAATGCATTTTCCAAGTTTGATTTTTGCTCTTGAGGTTGAAAAACAGGTGCTTGTTTTTGCTCATTGTTATTGCTCCATGAAAAATTCAGGTGTTTCCTCCATGCTGGATTATACGAATTCCCTTGTCCTCTTTGGAAATTGTTGACGTAGTTGGCTTGTTCATGCTGAGCAAACTGGTTTCCCTCTTGGCAATCGCTCGACGCATGATTTCCTGCACAAAGGTCACATGTTAGAGATGACGATTCAATTGCATTAATTTTCAACACATTACCTAATTGCTTCTGGATGTTCGTAAGTTGAGCACCCAATGCAGTGTAACTATCAACTTCATGCACTCCCGCTGATCTCCTTGCTGAATTTCATTCTGAAGTCCTCATATAGTTGTTGTTCGCCATTACCTTGATCAGATTGTATGCTTCTTCTGGTGTTTTGGTGTTCAAGGCTCCCCCACTTGCAGCATCTATCATGGCTTGAATGGTTGGTAGCAAACCTTGGTAGAACATTTGCACTTGTGACCAGATTGGTATCCCATGATGTGAGCACCTCCGTAGAAGATCCTTAAACCTTTCCCATGCTTCATACAATGACTCTGGATCCTGTTGATAGAAGTTGGTAATCTCACTCCTTCGTTTGGCCGACTTGGCAGGTGGAAAATACTTAGTGACGAACGCTTAAGCCAACTTGTTCCATGTCGTGATGCTCCCAGATGGCAATGAAATCAACCAAGCCTTAGCTTTATCCCGTAGAGAGAATGGGAAAAGCCTTAGTCTGATTGCATCCTCAGATACCCCATTATGCTAGAATGTGTCGCACAACTCGAGGAAATTTGCGATATGCAGGTTGGGATCATCATTTGGTAACCCAGCAAATTGGATTGACTACTGAATCATTCCAATAATTGCTGGCTTAATCTCGAAATTGTTCGCTTGAACGGGTGGTCTCCTGATACTTGAATAACAACCATCAATAGTAGGCCTAGAATAGTCCTTTAATGCTCTCTGAACCACTGCTGCTCCACCCATTGCATTTCCTCCTAAATTATCCTCATTCTCATTCTCTTGGTTTTGCATATTAGGATTGATAACTCCTGTGTTAGCCATTGCCTGTTCAGATTCAGCTTGCCTCTTTTCTCTTCTCAACTATTTTGCGGTTCTCTCGATCTCAAAATCAAGTGGATTAAGATGACCACGACCTCTAGAACGTAAACTCTCCAGATTCTAGCTGAAAACCACAAATAAGACAAACAAAAATAACAATTAATTAGTAAATAGAAATGAAACAAATCAAATTAGCAACTAAATATTTCATATTGATATTGGTAAAATAAAAATAGTTCCCCGGCATCAGCGCCAAAAACTTGACAGACTTTTCGCAAGTGTACGAAATCTTGCAAGTAGTAAAACTCGAGTAAGCAAGTGTCGAATCCCAAGGGAACTACCTACCAAGTACCAAACTATTATATTCTATTGCTATTTGATTAAACTGAAGTTTAAGAATGAATTCAATGAAAAAGTAAATAAACTAAAAGCTAAGTACTAAATAAAGGCAGAATTTGTAAACACTTTGAAGTAAAGATCAATATGACTAAACCTAGGGCATAGATTTCGCACCAATTTAATCCTATGCATTGACACCTGTTGTTAACCTAATTAAGCGTATTCTAAAGGCCAAATCCCCTAGTCTTCCACTAACTCTCTCTCGAGCAATTAGCAAATTAACCCTTAAGCAACAATCCAAGATATCTTTAAGTTGGATTTAGGAGCTAAGAGATCATTAAGCTCTATGGAATTTACCGGAGCCTCACAGATCGCGGTAACGTATCTCTAGCGTTCGCTCAATCTATGGTTTTATTACTTAAGGAAAATCAGGTTTCATCTCTCGATCTCAACCTAATCCATGATATCATTCAACTCTCGGGCCCTGAGAATTGAAAGCATTACACACGATAATAAAACTTAGAAATCATGCTCAATATAGAATCAAAATAATAATGTCAACACATGTTCATAAATTGGGCTACATCTTTAGCCCTAGAAAAGAAAGTTAGTTCATAATGAAAATAACAAAACCCATCATTCTAATCAATGACATCAATTCAAGAAAAAGATAAACTTCTCTAATCGGTGAACGAGAGCTTTCAAGATCCCGATCTCCAACTTGGTAGCCGTCTTCTTCTCCTTCCAAAAGTCCTCTTTAATTTCTTAAAAACTCTCTTTTATATCCCTGGGGTTCTTGTTCGTGCTTAGGAAAAAGATTAGAAAACTTAACCCATTCAGATTCGGATTAGGGTAATGAATTAACACAAATCCGTGACCCATCGCCGTGGCGGTAAGAATGGTCATCATGATGATCATTCTTTATGTCCAAGGCATCCATAATATTCAGAATTTAAACAAGTCATCAACATGAACATTGTAGCTCTCTGAATAAGCTTTCCAATGCCACTAGAATCATTGAATTCTGATTTCCATAGCTCAAGTTATGACAGAAACATCGAGGCATACTCATGATGAAAGATTTCCAGATTTCCCGTAAACATCTTTGAAGTGCCACAACTTCATCATTTCGACCCGGATTCTTGTGCCGTTTTTTCCTATGTGTCGTGAATCCTATCAACATCATTATTTTCCCTTCAACAACCTGTTTGGGCCTGAAAACACTGAACATGCACCCGTGATCCCATAAATGGTATTTATGAAAGAAATAATCCAAATTCCATACTTTAAGCACAATTTTCCATAAATAAACCATTTAAATCACTAACAAAATATCAACATTCAAGCTCTTATTAGCATATCGCAAATTTCCTCGAGTTGTGCGACACATTCAAGCATAATGGGGTATCCGAGGATGCAATCAGACTAAGGCTTTTCTCATTCTCTCTACGGGATAAAGCTAAGGCTTGGTTGATTTCATTGCCATCTGGGAGCATCACGACATGGAATAAGTTGGCTCAAGCGTTCCTCACTAAGTACTTTCCACTTGCCAAGTCGGCCAAACTGAGTGAGATTACCAACTTTTATGAACAAGACTCAGAGTCATTGTATGAAGCATGGGAAAGGTTTAAGGATCTCTTACGGAGGTGCCCACACCATGGTATACCAATCTGGTCACAAGTGAAACATTCTACCAAAGGTTGCTACCAACTATTCAAGCTATGATTGATGCTGCAAGTAGGGGAGCCTTGAACAATAAAACGCCTGAGGAAGCATACAATCTAATTGAGGTGATGGCGAACAACAACTATATGAGGACTTCGGAAAGAAATTCAACAAGGAGATCAGCGGGAGTGCACGAAGTCGACAGTTACACTGCATTGGCTGCTCAACTTACTAACATCCAGAAGCAATTAGGTAATGTGTTGAAAATAAATGCAATTGAATCTTCCTCTCTAACATGTGACCTTTGTGCAGGAAATCATGTGTCGAACGATTGCCAAGAGGGAAACCAGTTTGCTCAGCCTGAACAAGCCAACTACGTCAACAATTTCCAAAGAGGGCAAGGGAATCCGTATTCCAATACTTATAATCCAGCATGGAGGAAACACCCAAATTTTTCATGGAGCAACAACAATGAGCAAAAACAAGCTCCTGTTTTTCAACCTCAAGAGCAAAAATCAAACTTGGAAAATGCATTAACCAAGTTCATTAAGAAGACAAGCAAGAGGTTTGAGAAGACCGATGTCCTGGTTCAAAATCAATCTGCATAGATCAGGAACTTTGAGACGCAGATTGGGCAGATTCACAATATATTAGCGGGAAGAGGTCAAGGGGTTTTACCGAGTGATACAGAGAAAAATCTCAAGGAACAGGCACATGCAATCACCCTAAGGAGTGGAAGAAGTTTGGAAAATTCGGAGGGTGAAAAACAGAGGATAAAACAAAACCTGAAGGATAAGCAGAAAGACGATTGCCGCGGCGATGAAGATGGTGGCCACGGTGAGCGTGAGAAGGAAGAAAATTCCATCAGAAGGAAGGACGGTCACCACGGCGAGCATGATTTTGTTCCAAATTCATCAGGCTTATTAGACGATCATCGCGGCGATGAACCCTCTCGCCGCGGCGAGCGAACATTTGAGCAGAAACCCTCGTCGAGCCAGGCAACTCTGCCATACCCACAACGGTTGAAGAATCAGAAGCTCGACAAGCAATTCGGTAAGTTCATTGACATGTTTCGAAGTTTACATATTATATTCCTTTTGTTGATATGCTTGAACAGATGCCGAAGTATGCGAAGCTTCTGAAGGAGATCCTCACCCACAAGAGAAAATTCGAGGAACACGAGAAGGTTATGCTCATGGAGGAATGCAGCGCGTTGATTCAAAAGAAACTACCACCTAAACTACGAGATCCAGGGAGTTTTACTATCCTTTGTATTATTGGTAGTTGTTATTTTGACAAAGTGTTATGTGATTTAGGGGCTAGTATCAACTTAATGCATTTTTCCATCTACAGGAAGCCTGGATTGGGAGAAGTGAAGCCGACCACCGTGTCTCTCCAATTAGCCGATCGATCGATCACATATCCTAGGAGGGTAGTCGAAGACGTCCTGATTAAGGTAGACAAATTGATTTTCCCAGTGGATTTCATAGTGCTAGACATGGAAAAAGATAGGGAAATACCTTTAATTTTAGGACGACCTTTTCTGGCCACGGGTAGAACATTGTATAGATGTCCACCAAGGGAAGTTGATCTTAAGGTAGAAGATGAGCAAGTAGAATTTGATGTTTTCAAGTCTATAAAGTGTCCATCTGAATTAGATTCATGTTTTAAGATTGATGTTCTCGACACCATAGTGGAGCAGAATTTTGAAGAGAACTACCCAATTCTGCCTTTAGAGAATTGTTTGATGAATTCTAGGGACTAGGAGGAAGAAGTTTATAGTGAAAAGATAAGGGAGTGTCTAAGATACTTAAGTGCTTTACCACCCTTAGGTCGTCCCGAGGCTAAATTGATCAAAGAAATTGGAGCCGTGGAGTCTCAGTCAACTTTACCAATCACAAAGGCCCCTACACTTGAGCTCAAGCAACTACCATCTCATCTAAGGTATGCATTTTTAGAAGAGGGTAATTTTTTTCCAATCATTATTAATGCTTCTTTGAGTGTTGTAGATGAAGAAAAGTTGCTGTGCATTTTGAGAAAATACAAGAAGGCCATTGGATGGACAATTACGGATATCAAAGGTATCAGTCCTTCAATCTGCACGCACAAGATCTTAATGGAGGAAAGTTACAAGCCTATTATCCAACCACAGAGAAGATTGAATCCATCAATCCAAGAAGTGGTCAAGAAGGAGGTGTTGAAGCTTTTAGATGCAGGAATAATATATCCAATTTCGGATAGTGCATGGGTGAGCCCAGTCCAAGTGGTGCCAAAGAAGAAAGGAATGACAGTGGTCCGGAATGACAACAACAAGCTGATTCCAACACGAACAGTCACGGGATGGAAAGTACGTATTGACTACCGTAAACTGAATTCCGCGACTCGTAAGGATCATTTTCCATTGCCATTCATCGATCAAATGTTGGAGAGGTTAACGGGCCATGAGTTCTATTGTTTCCTTGATGGATATTTAGGCTACAACCAAATTGCCATAGCGCCAGAAGATCAAGAGAATACTACTTTCACATGCCCATACGGAATATTCGCCTATCGAAGAATGCCTTTTGGCTTGTGCAATGCTCCTGCAACGTTTCAACGTTGCATGATCTCAATTTTTTCTGATATGGTTGAGAAGTCCATTGAAGTTTTCATAGACTATTTTTCTGTTTTTGGAAATTCTTTTGATGAGTGTTTAACTAACTTGTCTAATGTTTTGCAGAGATGTGTTGACACTAACTTGGTGCTCAATTGGGAAAAATGCCACTTTATGGTACGAGATGGAATCGTGTTAGGTCATTGGATATCAGCAAACGGCATTGAGGTGGATCGAGCGAAGATTGAAGTCATTGAGAAACTACCACCTCCAAATTCAGTGAAGGCTGTCAGAAGCTTCCTTGGGCATGTGGGCTTTTATAGGAGATTCATACAGGATTTTTCTAAAATCTCTAAACCTCTTTGTGATTTATTAGCTAAGGATGTTCCTTTTAATTTCAGTCAAGAGTGTTTAGATGCATTTAATTGTTTAAAAGAAAAATTAATTTATGCTCCTATTATTGTTGCGCCCGATTGGGAATTACCTTTTGAACTCATGTGTGATGTGAGTGATTATGCTTTAGGGGCTGTTTTAGGACAGCGAAAAGGTAAGGTCTTGCATGTGATTTATTATGCCAGTAAGACTTTAACGGGACCTCAGCTAAATTATGCCACTACTGAGAAAGAATTTTTAGCAGTAGTGTTTTCTATTGATATGTTTCGTTCTTATTTGCTAGGTACCAAGGTCATCGTGTACACGGACCATGCTGCACTGAAATACCTCCTAGCAAAACGGGACTCCAAGCCAAGATTATTGCGATGGGTATTGCTCCTACAGGAATTCGACTTGGAGATCAAAGACAAGAAAGGAACAGAAAATCAAGTGGCTGACTATTTATCCCGATTGGAATCAATGAAGAAGTTCGAGAGGAAGAAAAGCCAATCAACGAATACTTCCCAGATTAGCAATTTTTTGAAATTCAGGAAGGACCATGGTTTGCGGACATTGCTAACTACTTGGCACGAAAGGTTATGCCCCCTGGAATGAACTCCCAGAGATGAAAGAAATTTTTTGCAGATTTAAAGTACTACTTCTGGGAGGATCCATTTTTGTTCAAGCATTACGCCGATCAGATGATAAGACGATGTGTGCTAGAGGAAGAGATGACGAATATACTTCGTCACTATCATTCAATGGAAGTTGGTGGTCATTTTGGTTCGACAAAGACCGCTGCAAAAGTTCTTCAATCAGGATTTTTCTGGCCTACTCTTTGTAAAGATGCTTTTCATTTTGTTATGAGTTGTGATGAGTGTCAACGGGTTGGGAATATTTCTAGGAGAAATGTCATGCCTTTAAATAATATCCTAGAAGTAGAATTGTTTGATGTTTGGGGGATAGATTTTATAGGACCTTTTCCTTCTTCGTTTTCTAACCGTTTCATTTTGGTTGCTGTAGATTATGTGTCGAAGTGGGTGGAAGCTGCTGCATTGCCAACAAACGATGCTCGTGTCGTTATCAAGTTTATAAAGAAGAATATCTTTTCAAGGTTTGGCACGCCAAGAGCCATTATCAGTGATGGTGGTTCTCACTTCTATAATTGTCAATTCGCAGCATTATTAAGCAAGTATAGGGTTACACATCGAGTTGCAACTCCATATCACCCGCAAACCAGTGGCCAAGTCCAAGTTTCAAATAGGGAGCTGAAATGAATCTTGGAAAAGACAGTGAACACCTCTCGAAAGGATTGGGCAATTAAGCTTGATGATGCACTATGGGCGTACAGGACGGCATTCAAAACACCAATAGGAATGTCATCCTATAGGATGATTTATGGAAAAGCTTGTCACTTGCCAGTGGAGTTAGAGCACAGGTCGTATTGGGCAGTAAAGTTTCTGAATTTTGATTTACAAGCCGCTGGAGCAAAACGTTTACTGCAACTCAATGAGATGGAAGAGTGCATACGAGAATGCCCGGATTTACAAAGACAAGACTAAGCAGTGGCATGACAAACACATTGTGAACAAGGAATTCAAGGAGGGTGACAAAGTGTTGTTGTTCAACTCGAGACTGCGACTTTTTCCAGGAAAATTGTGCTCAAGATGGTCTAGCCCGTTCATCATTCATCGCGTGTTTCCGCATGGGGCGATAGAGCTTCACCACCCGACGAAAGGAACATTCAAAGTCAATGGGCAAAAATTGAAACCTTATATTGAGAATGGGAATGCCGACGAGAGGGTTTCAATTCTTCTTCAGAATCCTAATTGACAACAGAAAAGGAGTCGAGCTTAAGACTTTAAACAAGCGCTTGTTGGGAGGCAACCCAATATTTCAGTTCTGTTTGGTTTATTTTTATTTTTATTTTTAATTTTTAATTTTTTTTATTTTTATTTACGTGTAATGAGGTTTTGTTTCGTATTTTTTTTTTTCTTTTGTTTTAAGTTTTATATGTTATGTTTTTAATTTTTGGTTTGTTTGCAGGTGATTGCCAAAACGAACATAAGGATAAATTAGAAGGCTAGTACGCTCGCCGCGGCGATACACTTTATCACTGTAGCGAGCGTGAATGACGCGCATGACAGAACTCATCTGAAATTAATCATGCTCGCCGCGGCAATGATTTTAATCGCTGCAGCGAGCGTGAATCCAGTGACGCCGCGACGATAACAGCGATCGCCACGGCGACGCATACGATCGCCGCAGCGATTGCACCAGGCAACGCAATATTGCATTTAAATCAGCTTTTTCTTCTTCTATTTTCAAACAATCTTCCTTACATGCTTCTCTCTCCCACAGTTGCTCTCCACCAAATTTTGTTTAAATCATTCAATTTTTTTTTTTTTTTTTTTTTTTTTACTCTAGTGCTCACTAACACACTCACTCTCATATCAAATTTCACAGATTAAAAGGTGCAAGTGGAATTTTTTTCGCAAAAATCAAGGTTAGGGTTTCACAAGCGATTTGGGGATTTTCGAAACTTCATCTAATCCATTTCAATTCAAGGCGTATTTGGACAGAACAAGATTCAAGTAAGTGTTTCTCAACCATTTTGCATTGAAATATTGAGTGCGGAAGGGTGGAATCCATTGATCTGAGTTTTGTGGAAGTGTGGATGATTTTATGTTGGTTGTGAATATTGATAGAGATTTGGTGATTTTCGTGGGAGTGTTTATTTCTGTGATTGTGTTTGATTGAAGAAGGGTAGTTGATTTTTGTGGGAGTGAGGTGATTTTCGTTGAGATTGAGGGTGATTTCACTGAGTGTTTGGATTGAGTTCGAAATAGTGATAATGGCACCCAAATGAAAGCCCAGAATTGATAGGAGAGAAAAGGGTAAACGGCAGGCCTCTAGTGATACCCGGTTTGTTAGCCAGGCTGCTCAGGAAAGGTATGAAAATTTTGCAAAGCAACCGGGGCGATTTATTGAAGAACGAGGGCTCGTGTTTACAGAAGGTTTTGAGGGAATAACTGATGTGATTCAAGCTCTAGGTTGGGAGAAATTTTGCAAAGAGCCCCCGGTGCCTGCTGTTGCCTCTGTGGTAAAGGAGTTTTATGCCAACGCTCCTGATAGCGTTGACGAGAGAACTATAGTAAGAGGTAAAGAGATCGTGTTTAATGCAGCTGCGATCAATGAATTTTATGGGCTACCGCAAGTTGAGTTCGATGATGATGCCTATGCTGCATTCAAGCAACAAGTGGATTTTGACACAGTAATAAACTCTTTGACTGAAGGGAGAGCTACATGGTTTATTGCGGCTGGGGAACACATCCATTTTGAAAGTAAGTTCTTGGACTCAATTTCGTGCATGTGGTTATATTTTGTATGCTCTCGATTGATGCCATCCAAGCACATGAGTACTGTTAGTAAAGCTAGGGCGATCTTAATGTATGTTATCCGCCAGAAGATAAGGATGAATGTGGGTGAAATTATCTTTCAAGAGATTACCCATTCGGCAAAGCGTACCGAGACGGGCTTTCATTTTCCCCACCTGATTACTGCATTGTGTACACAAGCGGAAGTGCCATTGAATGCTGAAGAAGTTTTTATTCCGCAAGGAGTGTGTCTTACCGTGCAGTTTCTACAAAATTTAACTAGTGGGGGCAGAGTAGAGGCACCCAGGACCAAAGCATCTTAATCGTCGAAGCTTTCCCAAAAAGATCAATTGTTGAAGCTGAATGACGACATCGAAAAGTTGAAACAGCAACAGAATTGTCAAGAGGCCTGGATGACATGGATGAGTAGGCAAATGAGGGTGCAACATGAGATGCAAATATTGCAACTTGCGCATGCTGGGATAGCAGCACCGAGGTGTGAATGGACTGATTTTGTGTACCCGGCGGATGAGGAGCACGCTGATGTTCCTGATGAGGATTTTGAGGAGAGTATGGAAGAGTAGATTTTAGTTAATGTTGTCAATGCAGTTGTTTTAGTCGCTTTTATTTTTCTGTTTTGATGTACTTTTATTTTGTCTATTGTGTGTTCTTTGAGTCTTTGTGAATTGTTCGTCTATTTTGTTTTATTGTTTTGTTGTTCTTTGTTCATGCTCTTTTTGTCCATTCTTCTATTGTGCATAACTCTGATGGTCGACAAGGTCTATTTAGTGGTTTTTCTGTTTTGATAGAACGACTGATGTATACGACTGGAGGGCTTTATTTTGTTAAGGAATGCGGTAACGTTCTTTTTCTTTTACTCTTACGCGCTTCACATTGGGGACAATGTTGATTTTATTTGTTGGGGGTAGGAATTTAAGAAACTTAAATTGAGCAAAATTTGTTTTTGTATGGATTTAGAGAGCATTTGTATTTATTCTTTCATTTTAGGTTGTGAGTTTTATTTTTGTCTCTTGGATGAAGTCATATGTCTATGATAGGAATGTGATTGCAATAACATAGAACTAATGGAGGACATTAATTTTTACCTTTGCTTACGGATGTGTGAATATTAATGACATGAAGTTGAGACCCTAGTGAACTGTGGATTGAAAGTGGTTCAGTCACCTACTTAGAGACGTGTTATGTATGAAGTTTACATGAACTTTATTGTGATTTCAACAAACTCTAGAACTCATTTGATAATCACTCAAGGCGAAATCCTAGAATTCACATCACTTAGGAAATGATTTAGGCTGTTTTTGGACCGATTGAGCCTTTCAAGCCAACCCTTGTTTTTGTCATCGCTAGTTAGCCCTTTGAGCCTTTGTAAACACAATTTAGCCTTATTTTTCGTTCTTTGAACTTAATGTTTACCCTATCCTGATTATGAGCCTAAAGCACAATCCTACCCGCTTTGTCATTAAGGGACTTTATTGTTCTTCAAGTTTATTATGAGTTTTGGAAAGAAAGTGTGGTTGTCACAACCCACGTGTGCGAAGAAATTGGTTGGGGGTTGTGGAGTGTTTGTAAAATCAGTGGGGAAATTGGTTGGGGGTTGTGGAGTGCTTGTAAAATCAGTGGGGAAATTGGTTAGAGGTTGTGGAGTGTTTGTAAAAACAATGGGGATGTGCATGTGTGCATGTTTCAGCCTTCTTAATTTTATTCAGTTAAAAAAAAAAAAAAATTGGCATTGTGCCTAGTTTAAGGGTATTTCGGCTGGAAACCAGAACTTGCCTTAAAAACTATCTAGTAGTACTTGGCTACCTCTGGTATAACAACGCCACGTACACCTTAGACGCATCTCTCCCGCCGCATTTATGGTATCAAAAAAAAGAAAGATACAAGTTTGAGGGTTGTAAATTAGTGGACATATTGGTTGGTGGTTGAGAAGAAGTGGAGTTCGATTTGATTTTAGAAGTTGCATAAGGAAAATTGAGTCTCTTACTTTGTTTTTCATATCATTTCCTTGGACCCATACCCTGGCCTAAAGTTACAACCTTTACAAAGACCTATTGATCCCAGGTAATGTGAAATTCTACATTAGTGGAGAGTGGTTTGAAAAGCGAGCCTATGGAGTTTGATTCCATGATTCACATATAAGTCATAACCCGAATACTGAGATCAAAATTTTGTTCATGAATGTTGTGCATAACACCATCCGAGTTTGTAGACTAATGGTTTGTGGTTGTATGGATGTTCTAGGGTCGATAACGAAAATGAAATTGATGTTTGCATTGTCTGTGAGTTTTAGGTGATTTTTAATTAATCTATTTATTTTGTGTATATGCAATTTTTGAGACGTCTTTATGAATTGATCCAAGACTTTTTGTTAGTGTGTTCTTGTTATGTTTATGTTTTTGTTACTTTTGGAGTTTAGGATAAGTTTAGTGTGGATGTTTGTGGGTATCATCGCTGGAAACCCTCACGAGACTTCAACTCGTCCAACTAGGGCCACCTAGGAGTTTAGAGGCTTGTTACATACGCTAAATGCAATCTTGTCAATCTACGAAAGTGATTTAGGATAGTTTAGATTTAGGTTTTTAATTAGTTGTTTTCTTGTCAAGCTTAGAGACTTATTTTATCGCTTATTTTGCTAGGGACTAGCAAAAAGCTGGTTGGGGGTTGTGATAAGAGCTTGAATGTTGATATTTTGTTAGTGATTTAATTGGTTTATTTATGGAAAAATGTGTTTAAAATGTGGAATTTGGATTAATTCTTTCATAAATACTATTTATGGGATCACAGGTGCATGTTGAGTGTTTTCAGGCTCAAACAGGTTGTTGAAGGGAAAAGAATGATGTCGATAGGATTCACGACGCGTAGGAACAAACGGCACAAGAATCAGGGTCGAAATGAAGGAGTTGTGGTACATCGAAGATGTTACGGAAAATCTGGAAATTCTTCATCATGAGTATGTCTCGATGTTTCTGTCATAACTTGAGCTGTAGAAGTCAGAATTTGACGATTCTGATGGCGCTGGAAAGCTTATTCAGAGAGCTAAAATGTTTGTGTTGATGATATCATCTAATTCTGAAGTTTACAGATGCTTTGGACAGAAGGAACAATCACCGCGGTGACCATTCTTACCGCCACGGCGATGGGTCACGGGTTTGTGTTAATTCATTACCCTAATCCAAATCTGAATGGGCTAACTTTTCTAATCTTTTTCCTAAGCACGACCAAGAACCCCAGGGATATAAAAGAGAGTTTTTAAGAAATTAAATAGGACTTTTTGGAGGAAGAAGAAGACAGCTATCAAGTTGGAGATCGGGATCCTGAGAGCTCTCGTTCACCGATTAGAGAAGTTTTTATCTTTTTCTTTCTTGAACTGATATCATTGAATAGAATGATGGATTTTGTTATTTTCATTATGAACTAATTTTCTTTTCTAGGGCTAAGATGTAACTCAATTTATGAATATGTGTTGACTTGGATTGTTGTTAATTCTTATTGAGCTTTTAATTCTAAGTTTTATTATTGTTCATAATGCTTTCAATTCTCAAGGGCCCGAGAGTTGAATGATATCATGGGTTAGGTTGAGATCGAGAGATGAAACCTGATTTGTCTTAGGTAATAAAACCATAGATTGAGCGAACGCTAGAGATAGGTTACCAAGATCTGTGAGGCTCCGGTAAATTCCATAGAGCTTAATGATCTCTTAACTCCTAAATCCAACTTAGAGATATCTTGGGTTGTTGCTTAAGAGTTAATTTGCTAATTGCTCAAGAGAGAGTTAGTGGAATAATAGGGGATTTGGCTTTTAGAATACGCTTGATTAGGTTAACAATAGATGTCAATGCATAGGATTAAATTGGTGTGAAATCTATGCCCTAAGTTTAGTCATATTGATTTTTACTTCACAGTGTTTACAAATTCTGCCTTTGTTTAGTGCTTAGTTTTTAGTTTATTATTTTATTTCATTAAAGTCATTCTTAAAGTTCTGTTTTATCAAATAGCAACAGAATAGACTAATTTGGTACTTGGTAGGTAGTTTCCTTGGAATTCGACACTTGTTTACTCGAGCTTTATTACTTGCACGATTTCGTATACTTGCGAATAGCCTGTCATATATCAATTTTGTTGAGAACCAATTTGATCAATCATGTAGTCATTTTCATCAAATGATGATGTTCTAAGTATAAGCGGCAATTATTGAATTTATTTTTACCATGTATAATTAATCAACCATCCTATATTTTGGAATATCTTTATAGCACAAATACCGCTATTTTGAGCTCAAAGTCGTCACTTGTTGCACTCCTATGAAATCATCACTCACCTCTAATTTCTTTTTTATTTTTTTTAATGAACTTTAATAGATAATTTTGGTTTATTTTTTATTTATATACATATTTATTATAATTTATTAAAAATATTAAATCCTTACCATTTTTTATTTATCCATTATATAAAAATTGAATGACGGGTTAACCCTTCGCTGAATAAATATATCCTCTGCATGTGACCTCAAAGAGTCCCAAATGTCAGATTGGACTGGGTTGGATTTTCCTTTTGTCGGGCTGGATTGTATTGTATAGTAGTTGCACCCACCCGAACCCAGTGCACTGAAAATCGTGTTTACTTGAGAGGACCCCAAATTGCTCAAACAATTCTGAAAAAATAAAAAATAAAAAAAATCTTAACAACTGTAGACAACACGCTCTTTCAAATCTCAATATTAAACGCCAATCCTCGAACTCTTTCCAATTCCTTGCTTATTCTATGTTCGATATTTCACACGTAATCACTAATCAGCAATGAAGAACAACAAATCTATCATAAAAATAATAGCAAATCGAAAGAAGAACCACTGGCTGTCCATAGCAAATCCAGCAATATAAGGACTGCAAAAGCCTCTCTGTCCATCATCAGTAGTTTTATTTTAAAAGTTTGCTTCAAATTGGGTGTGCGTGGATGCATGAATGCCTCAAGTTAAACAATTACTTTCTTGTGTGTCGAATCTGTTTGGGGCTCCCATTTACAATACAATATAATATAAATAAGTTAACTGGATAAGTTGGGGAAAGTGTGACCGACTGTTCATGCTTCCACGAAACGTACCTATCAACAACACATTTATTAATTAAATGTTAATGACTCATCTTGTTATTAAAATAAATTAATATGCTTGATTTGGAATCATATTTATTTTTAGTATGTAAAAGAATCAAGAAGATACTATATTTTTTTGAAAGTTGTTTTGATTTGGTTTTGTATACTATTTGTAGAAGTATACATATAGTCAGACGTATTTGTAATAGTTTATTGACATAAATCTTTCTCCTTTTATTAAATTATACAAAATCTTTCTCTTTATATACATATACATAGTATGTAAAAGAATCAAGAAGATACTATATTTTTTTGAAAGTTGTTTTGATTTGGTTTTGTATACTATTTGTAGAAGAATACATATAGTCAGACGTATTTGTAATAGTTTATTGACATAAATCTTTCTCCTTTTATTAAATTATACAAAATCTTTCTCTTTATATACATATACATAGTATGTAAAAGAATCAAG